ATGTGGTGGAGAGAACAAGGAACACCCGACTCCGTCTGCACCTTTTCGACTCAAGGGTACCTTCTGCCCTACCGGATGTGCCAGAAGCGTGATCGCTGCGTAAACAGCATGAAAGGTCACGTTATCACTCATCGTTATCGAACGCGCAGTCGAAAGGTCGATGCTAGGAGTATCCCGTTCCACACAAGTAAGGGATGGGATCCGAAGCACCGATCAGCGTCAACGGTCAAAAATCAAAGATGCCCTTTTGAGTCGAAGGTAAGACGGTCCGCTCACGTAATGCGTATGAGCGACAACCGACGGACATGAGCAGTTGGTGACTGGATTCTTCGGGATGCCACAAGCACTGCAAGAAGACCACCAACCCAATGGTTAGTATTAGTGATTAGTGATACTGAGGTTCAGGAAAAGTCGGTTTCGAAATATTACTACACTTTGCGCTAGCTGATAACAACACCGACTTCTGCACGATGTGCGCAATGATGTATGTCCGGAAGAAAAACAAGTTGTTATCACCGGACATTATCATTATATCGACCATCAGCATCGTGTATAAAAGGGCATCACTGAGTAAGGATGCCTTATTCGAGGAGATGGCTCACTGAAGAAGACCTAACTCGACACGAAGGCGAGGCTGCCACGTCGAGACGAATAACAAGCGAGGATCATCGACTCGGATCATCGGCTCTGAGGAAGACGAAGACGTCGAAACGTTAGCCGAAAATAAACATCATTATCAACCTCGTGTAAGCTCATCAAAGAAAGAATACAATGGTCAGAGTTTTTCACGAAAAGCTTGGAAGAAAATATGATGCTCAATAAGCCCCTACAGCGAGCAGAACCCACTGCTCTACTCTTGCGCTCGACGGGCAAAAATGAAAGATTTTCTAGTGCCCGCTCAAGTCACTCCTCGGTCAACGATACTACAGGTGAAACAGGTGATAGGCGATGACCAAGCTTTTCGCAGACGTTACCAAATGTGGCAAGTATTAATGGTGGCGTAGCATTGCCTAGTCCCTCTTTTGACGGCGATGTTGATATTGTTGTACAATGGTAATATTTCACAGGTGAGAATTTCATATAGCTCATCGTTAGTCTTCAAGTACTGAGTAGGGACACCCTGGCCGACCAGGGCCTCCATGGCTGCTTCGATCTCAACTGAGAGAAGAGCCTTCTTTACGTCGATGAAGGTGAGACAGAACGGTTTTCGTACTGTCGTGATACTTTGATGAATTTTGTTATCGTGTGGGTGTGCTCCAAAGTACTGAATCCTCTTCGAAACCCTGCTTGCTCACATTGCTTTCCTTCGTCCAGCGGTCTGTCGATCCTGTTTAGGGGTCACTCGAGTGAAAAGTTTGTAGACGACAAAAAGCAAGCAGATTAGGCGATAGCCAAGCCAGTATTGATGAGGACCGACAGATTTTTCACGTGTGGAGATCTTACCTCTCCGAGAAATGTTTTCTTTGGTTCTCAATCGACATGTCCTATTTTGGAAGGGAGAACCTGTGAGCCGACATATCTTTCCTCCTTTATTTCGTGTTAGTGCAAGAGCATGTCGTTGTTGAAGAGATCCGAGCAGCAATTGTAAATGTTTTTCTGCATTGCCTTCTACGAGATGTAACTTTTCCGTATGGCCATTGGAGTGCAATCATTGTGTGTTAGTAATTGGCGAAGCTTCGATGGAGTTTGAGAATCTTTCCCCTAAGCTCTCCAGCTTCGACCTTATCTGCTGGTCTTCTCTGTTTAAGGTATTCTCTTTTCGCCTGTCTAGATTGTTTCGCAAATTTGGACAGGAGTCGGTGGTTGCCTGCAGCTCGTGCGATTCCAAATTGGTGTATCATCACGCTTTCATAGGGCTAAGATGTTGAATGAGCCTGTCATATTTTTTGTCGATGTTTTCAATAACGGCATCTTTCCAGCAACGAACTAATGAGCTAGATAATTATTGGGTTATGGTGCTTCTCGGACTTCATTTTTTTTGTACTCAGTGGCCTTTTCTGCTTTCTGCACGAAATGAAATCTTGCACGAACGTGGCGATGGTTTGATACCGTGCAGAATTTAGGACAACAGCGATATCGGTTAGGCAATGGTACGGTACTATGTAGAATGCTGTGATTGGTGGTAGCATCTGCAGAGCAAAAACAAAACGGGCGTGAAAAGGAAGCAAGGGCCTCGGTTGGTATCGTGGATAGTACGTGAGCCTCCACTAGGGGGATTCGTGTGCTCGAAGCCTAAACATGGTCATGAGTTTTACGTACATCTCAGAATTCTTGTGCTTGCATTTCAAATCGCGCTCAGGATAGGAAATAAATAAAAGCTAAAACATTTTAAAATGGTCCGATTCAAACGGTGTACTTAGTATTTCAAATCCTTTACAGACGAAAAGGAGTTGTGGCCTGATCTCGTCAACTTCCTAGTTTTTGTAGTTCAACTATGTTTTGTGCGTTTCCTTGTTCTTACGTTTTCGCTGTATTCTTACACATTCTTGTTGTTTTGTTTATATTTTAAAAGTTGAAAAAATCCACTGCATATGAAGAGGTCGAGAAGTACAACGTAGCTGTTTTTTCTATTTTTATCACCTCTTAAGTATATTGTTTACGCACAACGGCTAAATCAACCATCTACAGACGTTGATGTACTTCAGGTGAATATCCTTTCGCAACCTCTGTGGCGATATACTGTTTTTGATTCATTTAAAGAAATATCACCGAGGTAATAAAAATTTTAATTGTTTTTTATGGAAAACAACAATGGATTGCAGTTATTCTACAAGAACTCAGGTGTTTTACTGATTTTCCCTCAACTTTCCGAATCCAATGGATCTATCAATCCACATAGTTTGCCCTAACGACAAACTTTGTCTAACGGAGAGTTTCGGATCCAAAAGCAACATTTCAATTCTGGATCTTCTGACACACAGAGAGTTACGAAGGAGCAAAAAATGTACCACCTACTTACCGTAACGTACCAGTGTTTCTTGTGAAGAGTGTTTATCGGGTGGACTACCGTAAATCGACGCTTCTAGCACTCATTTGTTCTTCCGTGTTAGATTTGTCCATTTCCATCCATTGCTTCGCACCAATTTTACTTATAAAGATGATGAACATAAGCGAGTTTATAGTCGTCTTACTGAATTCGAATATCGCATTTGTGACTTCACCGGGACAGTTTCACTCAAATGAAAAGACAAAGCGAAAACACAGCAGGGTTACCTATTTTCGATCTGTCAGGGCCAAGTGGTAGAACGAAGTGACATTAAACACCACATACTTCTAAGATATGGTGTTATCTTACCACTGAGCAAAATACAAGTGAGTGATTACCCTCTCGACCAAGTCAGCTTGTCAGCCACGTTTAGCAAATGACATTTGCAATAGCTAACTCTTAAGCTTATAGGGTGGAGAGTAAAAAATTCGGGTCTACTTTGGACGACAGTTCCAAAAATATAGCAGTGTTAGAAACCTTTATAAATGCAGTGACGTTTTCGAAGTAGCAAAAATTTCATAGGCAAACAACTCACAAAAGTGCAAGGAGAACACTGAAAGATTGCAGGCGAGAAGTGCCTTCACTGTAGTACGAACAATGTTATCGAATTGCCAGCGTAAAACTGATGAAAGCCTCCACGTTGCAATCAAAACTCTTGCTTCCAGGTCGTATTCAGGGAAAGATGGCGCTTACCACTGTCGTTAAAATTCTTCATCAGGTTGTCGGGAAGCTTCAATGTGTCAAAAAATGATGATTTAACTAAGGACTGTATTGACGTATGGTTTCTTTGTTTGTCATCGTCGATCGTTCATCGTTACGACCTAGTCAACTACATATTGTTGGTAGATGTACATAGTGTTTGAGAACTTTGGAGCACCTTGGACATTAACATTTAGAAAAGTGTTGTTACTAATATTGTACATATATATGTATATCAATGGTATGAACTAATCGCGTTAATCAATTGTTCAATAGACTTGCATGTTCAGAAGACATAAAGAACGTCACACTTTTGCTAGGAAACCTTCTATTTTTATTGTTTCTTGCGATAAGGTAACAATGGGTGGTTCGCTTCGTCTGTCGTTCGTATGTACATCTAGCTGGACTACGAGACAAATACATTGAACTCTTATTGGTATGGATGGCCTTACTAGACACCGAACTCTGCTGCATATCGCAATTTGATACGCAGGAACACCTTATCTAGTACGAAATGGTATTGGCAATATAAACGATATAATCTCTTATCTTTAATTTACTGCTTACTCTCTTTCCACGGCAGGGTACCATGTGAACTACAACTACAGGAACGCTGAGATGTGAATGAAACTCGGAACCTCAGGTGTGCTCCAAACCCGTGGGCTTAACGGAGGCTCACGTGCTTCCCACCAAATCAAGCCAGGTTCATACTTTGCCTTTGCCTCAGACTTCTTTTTACTCTATCGACCGATCAACAATCACGATATTTCATCTCGTATCTTGCCATAAAAAAAGGATAGTCAGTAAGTAAAAAGTAAGACATTGCGATTTCGACTGCAGCTTCACAGCTTAACGGTGTTTAATGCCGGTTTACACTCCACAGATCATTCCTGTAGACGGGTTACTACTGCTAGCACCGTAAGGGTAAAGATATGGTTGAGGGTAAGGCAAAGCAATGGCCTCGGCTGGCGTGGTGGATAGAACGAAAGCCCCGTTAAGGGTGATCGCCAGTTCGAATCCCACATGGGGTCACGACTTCTGCTCACATCTCAGAATTCTTGTGGCTGCATCTTACAAATGATGTATAACCCAATTTTCATATATTTATATGAATTCTGCAGACGATGCCTGAATGTGTACGGCGGCAAACGAGCAAGGTGTGGTGTGACTTGCGGCAGCAGCGGCGGCTGCGTCGCGATCGGGGCGTGTCGCTGGCGGAACGCTCCTGGCGGCCGCTTATCGCACGGACAGCACCGAGAGGGACCCATATCGTGGGAGCGGAGGACCTCATTGGTCAGGTCTTCTGGACCTCAGTATGGATGGGAACCCAAGTCGGCGGCTCGAGAAGGTATGAAGTTGTCCTCCAGACCGCGTCACATTTCCTGAATATCGGTATTCATAGCTAACGGTGGTGTATGTGTCACTGCTGTTTTGAGTTATACATCGAATTCCGGTCATTTCAGTATATCTGTATACTTCAAAGTACTTCTTTATGACGATGGAATGTAGGAGTTTTGTATTTTGGGTGTATATGAAGTTAAAACTTGTGCTTTTCAACGGATTTGCTGTGTCCTAGTCGTTGCTTTAAAGTAACTCGTTGTGCCTTTTTTGGACTGAACTAGTTCTGCCATTCCAATGATTTCGGCAACAAATATAGTTTGCACAACTTAACTAGTTATTGACGCTGAAACCATCTACTCATCTACTTATACACGTTTTAAGGTCGGGCTTTATCAAGTAGGAAGAGCGATTGGCCGTGGAAATTTCGCTACCGTCCGATTAGCAAGACATGACATCGCTAAGACGAAGGTAAGGTTTAGCTCTAGTTTAGCGAATTAATCGACTTCTCGTTTCTGTCTTCTCACAATGAGACTACTCAACCGTGTTGTCCAGGTAGCAATGAAAATCGTGGATCTGGCAGCACTTGACGAAGAGAATTTAATACGTCTCGAACGAGAAGTGCAAATCTTGACACGTGTTAATCATCCCCATATAGTGAAACTTTATGAGGTCAGTTTTATCGCTGGTATAGGTGTGTTCGACTTCTCGTAAGTTAGTAAATTCATTTCAGATAATTCGGACCGAATCATCAGTATATATAGTAACTCAGTACTATAGTGGTGGAGAGCTTTTCGGTAATTTACACACCATTTTACTTACTTGATTGAGTACTTGGTTGGCTCATCCTCACTAGTTGTACAGGCCCCAGCAAAATTTTTATTTTTTCGGAGTTTTGCTAGCTTAGCCATTGTGGTTCCTTAGAATGCCGAGGTTAGCCTGGGCAAAGTCGGCTCCAGAGCGTCAACACCAAAGGCAGTCGCCGCCCTTGTGGATGAGAGGGAGATTTGTCAACATGCCACTATGATACCTGGAGCTTGGAGCTGTAGTGGATCCTGATATTCGTTTAGTCTTAGCTGGGCTTCCTGGTGAAAACGCCGGACTTCTCAGCCTGGTAGACCCTGATAGGTGGATGAATCACCTGCTTTACATCGCAGCCTAACACCCAGGAACACCTACCAGCCATGATGAGGCGGAAAATCATTGAGAAGGGACATCATGTTAGAACACAAGAATATCCTGCTATATGATTCGTTCTCTTCCAGAAGTTTTAATCGGGCGTGGTAGAACAGCTGAAGATGAGGCTCGACGATGGTTTGGACAAATCTCGTCGGCTGTTGCATATTTACACCATAAAGGTTTTTCTTTTTTTTCTTCATTTGAAGGAGTATGTTGCATTTATGGTGAAGGATTTTTTTCGGCGAAGGTTTTTGTTCGCACGTTGTTTACACAAGAAGTGTACGTTGTGTTTTGGAGAGGTTCGAAAAGGGTGCGTGTAGCACAGTGGTCGGAAGCGCACTGCAATACATACAGGATCGATCCCCGCGCCCATGACCCACCAAGCTTTCCATCCCTCCTGGGTCGCCAACTTGCTACCAGAGTTGTCTGAGAGGATAGCAGCGCTGGCTCGATACATCGGTAGGCCACCGCAAGTCATTCTAAAGGCCAGATATGCATTCAATCGCCTCCAACGATGCGTAATGTGGTCGGATGCACTGCGTATCCCTCAGGGATGGATTAGCGCCGAGAGCTTTATCCTTTTTTATTTGTTTTGAAAAGATTGTCAGTCGTTCTGTAAGACATTCTAGAAGCATCTGTTCAGTAATGTTTCACTTCGTCTACTTTGGTATGTATTTTAAGGCATTGTTCATCGAGACTTGAAGGCTGAGAATATCCTTTTGGATAAGAATAACAATGTTAAAATAATTGGTGAGGACCTTTTGTACTTTATCTATTGGCGATTGCTTCAAGTTTTTCTTTTTTCTCTTTGAAAACATTTTATAGATTTCGGATTTTCTAACATGCAGGCGCCTTCACAGTTGCTGCGGACATGGTGTGGATCACCTCCGTACGCAGCACCGGAACTTCTGCTAGGTAAGAACTTTTTAATTTCGCACTACGCATACATAGATTTTTTTTAATGTTTTAAAACTTCACTCCGATCTCAGCTTGTTCGTTAAGGCAAGGAATATGATGGGCTCAAGGCTGATATGTGGTCTCTTGGTGTGATTCTGTATATTCTTGTTACCGGTGGCTTTCCATTTCCGGGTAACAATGTCGAAAATCTGAAACGAGCAGTGTTGTCGTGTCAGATGAAAATTCCTTACTGGGTTTCTGTTGGTTCGTGTTTTCGATTTCACTTGTTTATCGAAGGTTTTTGTAATATATTTCCTTATTCGGTTATTTGAGTCTGTTTGACAGCCCACTTTTACAGTCCGTATGAAAAAATGACGAAGATTTATTGAAATCGAAGCACTCGCATAGTGTGGTGGTGAACGCGTTAACACCCGGAAAGGGTAATAGCGTGTTTGTTCGCCACCGCAGACACCAACAGTCCGAAGTTTTGCAAATATCTCAGCATCACTATGGCTTATAAAATTGTTCTAATTTTTCCATTAGATAAATACTTGTATTGCTTTCACTTGTGCGTTGTTTTTTGCAGAATGTGCCGATCTGATCAAGAAGATGCTGGTGTTCAATCCATTTAAGCGGTGGGGCATCAGTGCTGTTATGCAGCACAGGTACGTTGTTATCGTTTGGCAGTGAATCGTCTCGTATGATCGCCACGATTTATGCCGTCGAAAAAGTGAATTATACACTGAATTGCTCTCCGGATCAAGATTGGTGTCGTTTTTGTGCTAGAAAGTTAACGTCACTTATAACCTCGCTTCCATCTGCGGCAGACCAAGAACTTCGTTTAGCCTCATTTTCGTCATCCTTGCGCATGATATAATGAAAATGTTTAGCAGATTTTGTAGCTTATGAGTTATCTGCTATCAGTGACCGTCTGCAGTGTTACAAATTCACAACGTGACGTTAAGGCCAAACTCCTAATTCACTTGTTTTATTCACGTTATGACTTATAACCTGACTCATTACATTCTCATTTTACAGATGGCTGACAAATTGTCAATCTGCACAAACTCATCTGCTTGTGAAAAATAGCATGTTGGCATCGGCCACATGTCTTTCGGAACGACGTTCGCTTAAACTAAACCCGACGATCCTATTGTTTATGCAGCAGCATGGACGATGGTCAGAGGAGCAGATTGTCGATGTAGGATTTCTTTAGGATTTTCTCATGTGCTGTTATATCTTGAAGACTGTATTTCCAGGACGTTCTGAAGCACAACTTTGAGAGTTCTATTTTTGCCACATATGAGTTGTTGTGCGACAAACTAGGGAAAAATTCGTTTGAAGGTCTGAATCGTCGTGATTAGGAATTAACACTCTTTTGTTGTTTTACTCTATTTTTATTACATTTTTGGCTGTTGTCTACACGTTTTTCAAATAGCACTTTCTAGAGGTAAACGAGTTTTAGATGCTTTTGAAATTCTTGGTTTTTCGAAAACCGACTTTGATTTGACCACGGCATGACTAACTGATATGTGTTTTTCATTGAAAAGCTAACATGAATTGAATAGAAAAGCTTATTCGGCAAGCGTTTTGACGTCCTCATCTTCCTTAGAGCCGATCGTCCGACGAAGACACTAACCACGTCAAGGGGGCGTACGACTGTGGACCATCGCTTCGCATTATCGGCTCTGAGGTAAACGAAGACGTCAGAACGTCGCCCGAGTAACCTTTTTATCAACCTCGCACTAGCTCATCGATGAAAAAACACATATCTATTCATTAGTTTTTACACACTTACTGTTCACTTCCCGATAAGATTGAAATATTTGGAATAAAGTTATTGAGAAAATGAGCTTAATTCTAGCTTTGCAGCAAATGCTGTGATAACCCTTAATAACAAACCTTGCAGGTGGCCCAAACGACTATCCACGACGAGGATCACGTGGTTCTATTCTTAGTGGAAAAGCAAATGTTGAAATGGAGCCGTCGGCAACACCGATCTCTGCCCATCATCTGGCTCAACTGAATTTATCGGCCACTTTTGAATGTGTTAGTTTTCTGCACTTGTTTCGGTTTGTAAATTATGCTAACCGATAGTTAATTTCAGGACTTTTTTCTGTCTTTTCCACAGAACAAGATCTTTTCCCCATTTTTTAGTTTTTTCCCCTTTATGACGCACTTCCTTTCCATATAGAAATGGCATTAATGGAACTATTATAATAGTGCAATAGTAGAACTAACGTATGTTTTTAAACAAGACGAAACTGAGTTATTTGCAAAACTCCGGACCGCAGGTGTATGCGGTGGGGAGCGAACGCACTATTACCCTATACGGGGCTAACGCGTTCACCACCACACCATGCTGGTCTTTCGTTTCACCTGTCTCTCAGCTGGTTTTCTATCTACCATTGCCGTCAACAATCACCCGTCAACAGGATTGATCTGTGGAGCACAAATCGGCATTGAACCCAGTTAAACTGAGGCTAGAGTTGCAATATATTTTTTGTCGGAAGTAGTTAGCCTCTATCTATATATTGGGTACAGAAAAAGCAGTAGCTCTGCTAACTTCGCCAGTCTGTTGTCTATCTACTCTAGGATTCTGACGACTCGTCTACCTCTGATATATGCGAGGATTCACCATCAAGTTCAAATCGTAGCCGGACTAGAGGACAGTGTCAATTTGGGCTCGCCATAAAACAGGAACATGGAAACCGTAACGAGCATAGGTTGTAAATTTGTTGGTTTTATGTTAGTTGTTAAATTCCTTCTTTTTAAGCTATCAAATGCATGTTTTATGTCTTTAGTGTCTTTCTCTGTTTCTAAAAAATCTATGAATATTAAATATGTAACGGAAAAATCGTATTCGAGGCGACATACGTTGTGTGCGAGCGAGCAGATTTTTTCGCCTGATGTGATGGCTCAACTTCCTCTCGATTCACCGCTTCATCAGGTGACATAAATTAAATGGGCATACTAATTTCTAACTGTCGTTCGTTTTCCGTATATAGTTCGTAATCATTCAGTGTTGAAATTCGTTGTAGAGGGTTTGCAATATTTTTAGGCGGTCCTCAATCACTCTGCTCTTACTTATTTGACAACAAATCCAGGTGGAACTAATCTAGTAACTTCTCAGTTCCCTCAGTTTCCTGGTTTATCGCTTTTGCCAATTCTGGATTGTAAACGAATGTTGCCTGTTCCAAACAGTATGTTAGTTTCAATTTTTATTTCTTTTCCTTCTATGTTGCAATATAATTTACGTTGATTTTTAAGAACGTTGAGCAAATTTGCAATTCACTGTTCATCAGGTGAACGGCGTGCTTCCGCGGGTGAGAATCTCTTGAATCCGGATACCACGGAAAATTTCAGTTGCCTTGTTCAGTCTTCTCCAACGGGTAATTTGGTTAGGAGTGTTGAGGAGGAAGGTGAGGGGTAAGTTGGTTGTACATCACAGAATACCTTAGTGGTTTGTTACTTTTTTTATTATCTTATAAGGATTCTGGATAGGTGTACGATTTGGTATTGATCTCAGATATCTAAGGAAGCATGCCGGAAAAAGGAACACTGTACATAGTGCCTCATCACCATTCGGATCTTCTTCGCCAGTACCACGACATAGTCCATATACGAAGGCGTCATCAACGGAAAGGTTTCCTTGGTTCTTCATCTTTCTTCATGCATCTCTGCTATACTATTAGTTTTCATAGTTTCGTTTTTAAGACGAAGCAGTTGGGCTTCATCGGCGATTACCATACATCAGCATCAACAACTGGAACGAATGTATAGGCAGGCGGTATCGAATCCGGGTAAACAGTATGATTATGAGTGCCTTCAATTCCATTATGTGCTTTCAGTTTAGTATTTTGCAGTTTTGTTGGTGCTCTTTTTACTACAAATAGTCACCACAATGGTGCCGAGATATTTGCAGAACTCCGGACAGCAGATGTCTGCGGTGGGAAACGAACGTGTTGTTACGCTTTTCGATGACTAATGCGTTCACCACAACGCCATGCGGTCCTTCGTTTCGCCTGTCTATGATCGATAGAAAACTAGCAGAGAGACAATCGACACGAAGGACGCGCATGGTGCTGTGGTGAGCGCGACAACCCGGGAAAGGGTAATGGCGCGTTCGCTCCCCATCGCAGACACCTGCTGTCTGGAGCTTTGCAAATATCTCAGCACCGTTGTCGTTGTATTTCGCATAATACCCTGCCATGAAAAATCGTAGAAGGCAGCAAATAAAAAGTTTACGTTATCCTGTGATATTTTAGAGTTCTGAAGTGTATACTTCCACATTTTCAATTCATTTTTTTTACACGTCCCGTCGTCATATCTATTGCGCGGATCCCAGCACTTGAATTCGATTCGCTTCCTCGCATCCAAAACTCACAGTGGTAGAGATCGATAGAACTAGCTGAGAGACAGGCGAAACGAAGGACACGCATGGTGCTGTGGTGAGCGCGACAGCCTGGGAAAGCTAGTGGCGCGTTCGCTCCCCACCGCAGACACCTACGCTCCGGAGTTTTGCGAATATCTCAGCATCGTTAAAGTCATGTTCACAGTGGTCTTCGAATATTTCGCACGTTGCTTCAGCTGTTGCTTGAGGATTTCGTTTCCTTCTGAATGTCGTGGAATGCTGGTTGTATCAATGCTCGTTGCAGTCTTAGAGATAGCTGAGCTATAAGGCGTTTCCAAATGGACAGGAGCAGAGTGCTAAGGCGGGAATCGAACTAGCGTCTTTTGCTTCTTGATCGGTGGCATCACAAACCGTTACACTTTCCCCGTCGCTTTCAATTAATTAACCACTGAATATTCAAATATATGGAACGTCTGTTACTATGGTGAACATTGAGTGTCCCAATCCATTTTGTGATTAATTGTTGTTTTAACAGCTCTGCAAAGTTTTTATGTGAATTCCCGAGAAACCTATGTGAAATCGTTCTTTGATCACTAGTTTAGAAGTTTAAACCTTACTTATAAGGGGCGCAGTGGGTGGAGGCGTTTTGCAATGCCCATAGGATCGATCCCCACACCCACGGCTCACCATGCCACCAAACCTTCCATCCTTCCGTTTTCGGCAGATTGCTACCAGACTTGTCTAAGTGGATAGCAACATTGGTTCATTGCATCGGTAGGCCATCGCGAGTCATTGCAAATGCCAGATATCGAATCACCTTCAACAGTGCTTAATGAAATCGAATGCATGGCACATCCCGCATGGATTTATCAACTCTGAGAGCTTTATCATCCATACTTTTACTCGAATATTGCTACTTTTAGTGGAATTTCTTTCAGATAAGTAACTGATTCATAGCACTACTTCATTCTTAGTTGAGCTCAGGGGTGAAACCTTGCCATGTTGCAATAAGAAGTCCAAGAACACTTTGTGGTGAGGCCTTAGAGCATGCTATGACGAGAATTTGGTATTAAGTTGGTAAATAAATGTAGCCGCCATAACAACTTTTCTACAGTTACCACACTTCAATTTCATTTTTATTGTTTATGTATGCCTTTCGATCACACCTTTTGTGTTCATATCGAAAAACGTAGTCAAACTGTTAATTAATCTCTAAGTAGTTGACTTTCTATCAAGTTTCCACTTACAAAAGTTGATTAAACCTCGTTTATTCTGCACGTTTTCGAGCCAGTCTTATTATTTGAATACTGCGACTTCCTTAACCCTTTTATTTACTGCCTTCTTCTTTTTAATGGCAGGGTATGTTGCGAAATACAACTCGTATATAATGCTGAGTTATTTGCAAAACTCCGGACCGCAGGTGTATGCGGGGGAACGAACTCGCACTGTTGTCCTTATTGGAGAGCAGCGCACGTCACCACACCATCCGGGTCATTCGTTTTGCCTGTCTCTCAACTAGTTCTATCGATCTTTTTACCATCAGCAATCACCCGTCAACGGGATTCATCTGGGGAGCCCAAATCGGCAATCCAGTTGTACATGATTTGGAAAGTGTTGTTCAGGTGGCAACGATTTAATGGGAATCTTTTTGTCATCAGCAATCTTCCGTCAGCGGGATTGATCTGGGGAGCCCAAATCGCCATTGAACCCAGTTAAGCTGAGGCTTAGTTATAACCCGTATTTTGTATATATATATATATATAATCTATATGTTGTATATACATATTATATATATATATACGAAAAGATCGATAGAACTAGCTGAGAGACAGGCAAAACGAATGACCCGGATGGTGTGGTGGCTTGTAATGCTAATCCCCGGAAAGGACAACAGCGCGTGTTCGTTCCCCACCGTTTACACCTGCGGTCCGGAGTTTTGCAGATATCTCAGCATTACATACTGTGACTTTCCTTGTAGATGCTGTCCTTCTCCAACTGAACGTGATTTGGAAAGTGTTGTTCAGGTGGCAACGATTTAATGGGAATCCAAGCACTGCAAAAGGAATTTCAAAGGCTCGGTCAAATTGCCGCTCAAAGCTGCAGTCCAACGTTTGTTACTAGCCTTTTTTATTGATTTTAATTTTTCACCAATATTTTTGCTATTTGACGTGAATTATATATATATATATATATATATATGTATATATACGTATGTAGTGTGCATGTTTTTCGTATTAGTTTCCTCATTCTAATAACTTAAGGTTATTACTACATTTCGTCGTAAAGCTGTGTGTGATTTGTAGTGCAAGTCTATCGCCGACACAGTTTGGTCATCCGTCGAAGCCATTTGGATGTCCTCGAATTTCAATAACAGATGAGCATAACCGTAGTTTGGCTGCAGGATCGAGCTCATTTGATCCGGTTAGCATTTTTGAGCAGAAGGTATGTGTTCGTTTATAAAAGTTCTTAGATATATTATTGGTGTGGCTTTATCCCTTATGATGTCTTTTTAAAGGTGAACGAGGTAGTGTTTGGTCAACGACCGGCAACCGTTATCGGATTTGCCTCGATATCCAAATCTGGGACCTCATCTCCTGAGCAAAATATCAGAGTGAACGAGAGAGAAAGTATGGATGACCGGGTTAAAGTATGTTGACGCTATTTTATAGATTAGGTTTACACTTTTTGAAATTATGATCAATCGAAATTTAGTTTGATTCTAGTGTTCTGACCATCTTTCTTTATAGTTTATCTCTGAGGTAATTGTTTCAACATTTATCTATACACATAGACCCCTTTTTTCGTTTTTAGAGATTATATTTTCTTTTTTCATTAAAATATGACATCGAAATTTAGTTCGGCTCTAATTAGCTTTTTTTGTATATTGTCTCTGTAATCATTGTTTATAATATAAGGATTCCTCGTTACGCCCAAGTTTTAAGCTCCGACTATAGATTGTTATCTATGAAAACCAATTTACATGAATAAGCGAACGAAAAAGTGACAGGAAATAACATTCTGCTGCCATTTTTTCCCGTGCTTTTAATAGGAGTTTTATGGAATTGGACGGTTGATGAATTTTTGTGTAAAAATGGTCTAAAGAAGCGTAGAAGCCTTTTCATAGGATTCTAATTCACCAAACGCTTTTCTCATAGAAATACACTTCTTGAGAAATAAGGTATTCGACATGCAAATAGTATAACCACATGGACCATGTAGGTATTGATTACGACCTCTCAGATAGAATTGCTACTCTCTTGAAAAAAAAAACCACAATTCCATATAGCTCTGTTGATTCGAAGTTTCTTTTATTATGGAGGCTTGATACATTCATAGTAGGATGGGAACTGTCGTTATTCAAAGACGAAAAAATAGGTCATACGTGGCGGAAACATTCTTGACAAATCCCATTTCCTACGTGACGACCAAGTCTAGAAGAGCGAAGAGAGAAAAAATACAGCACAAATCAGGATCGTATTTACTGTAGACTCAACTAGTAGTTGCTTGAGTGGAGAATTGGGGCTAAGTCTAATTTTAACACCTGTACCCTCACTCATAATAAAAGGCATATGCAAGAGATCCATAGACGAGGACTTACATCTGTACAGGCAAGAAAAAGTGACTTAGAAAAAGAACCGGCCGAAAGAAATGTTGAAATGTTCGAAAGTACAGGTTCACTATCTGCCGTAATGAACGATAATGTGGTTTTTACCACTTTCCACCGTACTGTAGGACTGACAGCGGAAAACTTATGCTCTAATTTTTGTATTTTAATCTTTTACAAAATTTTTCTATCAGACTCAAATATTCCAACCAGAGAAAACTTCTTCGACTTTTTCCACTAGAACTACAAGTTGCGATAAAAAACATGAAAAGATTCTCATCTCTAGACCGGTTATGAAAGCTACAGAAATCACGCTGGTTTTGTGAGGCACGTAACAAAATATCTTTAGAAGGGGCATATAGAAGACTAAGGGAAGGTTAGATGCTCATTATTCTTGTTCTAGTTGTGTGCGAATATACTTCTTTGTAGTAATCCAAGTACATTTGCTGCTTGATTATGTTTTGTAGACTGTTTGCAATGATAATTAGAGGGTGCACATTAAAGGCATTGGATAACGCCAAAGCAGTTAAGTAAAAAGTGCCACCGTGGAGATGTCAAGGTGGAGGTGAACTATCTTCTGTTTGTGACAATGTGGGGAAGTTTTGAAAGGATGACTTTTGCGGAACCAACCGAGGTAAATGGGCAACGCGTTGACATAATGGATAACGGATGCATGTTCAAATAAGCCTACGTCTTCTAATTGAAGTAGAGACATTAGCATTGCTTAGAAGTGAAGTTTCCAGTTTTGGGAGATTTGTGAATGTAATTCTTCTGCTGTTCTTCGTAGCCGTTCGCGCTTGGGAAAGCGAAGCGATAGATCAACTATTATTACTTACAGCAACATAAGAGAGTATCTCCCAATCTATGTTGATCTTTTACGCTGCTGCTTTGTGTCAGAAATCTGGAAATTTAAACATTGGTTCATACGTCCTAAAAATGGTTTCTGAACAGAGCTAGGATGGTATTTTACAAGTTAAATGTAAAATGAATGCGATGGAGCAACTCGTCTTCTACAAAAAGTTGCATAGAGAGTTGTCAACCTCCCGGGTACAGTACTTCTCGAAGAATGAGCGAGAGTCAACGGAAATTAACCATCGTCGCCTGTTTTTAATTTGGTGCATCGGTTTTCTAGCTCTTCGTCTCTCCGTACGTGATGACGTGGAATTCGTAAAAAAAACTCCGGCCTCTAGAAGATCGTGAAGATTGAAACTAGAGAAAACTGCTCTGATCTTTTGTTTGGAGAGCAAAATAGAACCGTCTGAATGGCATGTCATGGATGTGTTCTTTTGATATAGTTCCATTGGCTTACTACGTAACTCGTGATTTAATCGCCCCTCACCAGTGTTCTCAACGTGTGCCACTGTGGCCACGGATCTTCCTCATATGAGAGATTTCGAGCCGGTTAGTAGCGAGGTTATGTGAAGCGTGTCTAATGCAGAGTAGGACTTTTATCACAGACCAAAGGCGGCCTTTGCTTCCCTGAGACGCAAGTAGGTCCAGGAAATAGACTCCCTATTTCCGTTGCGCCGATTCAGCACGTACTTTCTGTACTTAGGGCGTATTTATGCATGAATGCGTGGGTGTGTTATTGCTTATACTGATTCTATTCTATGAGTCAATGCGGTGAAAAGCTTGCAATCAAGCGACAGGGACTATATGATATGAGAGACGGTTATGAATGGCCTCCAAGAAAGGCTCCATGTCCACTCTGGGAGAGATTCGCAAGCTACTCGTCAGTATACCAAGCCCCCACGTTGATAGCTCAGCAAGATATATGTGGGCATCAGAGAGCTAAACGCAGTTAAATAAAATGAATAGACGCAATTAATACAAACGCGGGCCTCATTCCCTTGACCACGAAAGAGCTTCGATTCGGCAGCATTGCGTTGGATGAGTACAGAGGCTGCTAAAACCTCAGGGCCATTCTAAGCTGTCTAAATCGGAAAGGACTACGGTGAAGATGTATACCTACAATGTACTGACATCTGAGCCCTTGATAGAAGACTTGATTATGCAAGCAAGAAGGATAAGGTACGACGTCATCGGTCGTCTGACCAAGACAAGGCAACCCCACCCACTAAACGCCGTTATGATACCGGAGAAGAGATGTGCGACAGTAGAGGAGTCAGTGGCGTCGGCATTCTCGTCAACATTCGTTTGTCCATGAACATCGATTCATTCGAGCAACTAACACCAGTGCGTTTACGACTGAAGAGATGCGTACGAGTAACGACTTCGAAAATCTTCGTCGTTTAAGCGCGGCATAAAACTATAACGAAGGAGAAGTAGAAGTGTTCTGTGTGGACTTGGAGAAGTTCAATAGAGAAGGCTATACTTTCATCAGAGTCATAATTGGAGATTTTGACGCCAAGGTTGGATCAAGAAGAACGTCTGAGCAACGTCAGATTCTGACCCACGAATTAGAATGGAACGAACGGTGTGAGCGGCTGTCTGAGTTTACCATGACGACCAAGACCATCCTTGATAACACGCAATTCCAGAAGCAGCACTCTTAACGCTGGAAGTGGGAGTCTCCCAATGGAGAATACCAGGAAGAAATACACCACATAATAGTTAATCGAAGGTCTTGCCTATCCGATGTCGCTGTTGTTCCAAAATCCCACTTGGGATTGGATCATCTCATCCGCGCAAGATTTCATTTGTCGCGGAAAGCAGAAAAAGCAGCTAAGTTCAGAAATTGAAGTCTCAGAACTACCGCCAACTGGCATTAATTCAAATCGTTAGTCGGCTTTTGGGAAGGTGGCGTTCTTGATAGCATCAACGAGGAATACGATCGGCTAGTTTAACATCTTCACCTTGGCACTATGAGAGCTGAGAGTTCGATGGTCATCAAAAGACGTCTATCCCAGAAACACTTGCGCTGATATGTCAGCGTGGAGTTCCACGAGCTGCAGGCAACTGCCATCTCACGTTCAAACTTGCAAAACAATACAGGCAGGTGATAAAAGAAGGTCTTAAAAAGGCAAGAGCAGCAGTTGTGGTCGAAACTGCAGAGGCTGGGGAAAGCATTCGCAAACCCCGCCGAGACTTCGCCATTTACAAGACCAAGATGTTCGCACTTTGACCGCCCAGACGGAAGAGTTACAGCGTCCGGAAAGGCAATGGAGAAAATCATTCACGACTACTAGTCAAATCTCTTCAGTAGCCACGTCCTCCTACCCTCATATGAAATAAAGGAAGATGGATATGTCTCTTTATGAGCAAGCAGGATTTGGAAAAGGATTCATTGCGATGGACTGCATCTATACAATAGCAAGACTCATTTAAATATCGCGAGAGTGCAAAGGACCACTCTGTCTCAGTTTCATCGATTTAAAGAAGGCTTTTGACTCAACCACAACGATGTTGAAATATTCGCAAAACTTAGATTCCGGTCCAAATCTAGCCACAATTATCCTTTCCGGGGCCTCACGTGTTACATACTGCACAACGGAGGCCCTTGCTTTGCGTTTCTCTTAGCTAGTTTTCTACCCAACGGCGCCATAAGCAATGACTCGTCAACGGAATTTGTATGGGAACCCCAAGTCAGGAATAAACCTTATTAATAATCAATAATCATAATCAGTTGCAGCCTCAGCTTAACTGGGTTTATTGCCAATTTGGGCTCCCCAAATCAATCCCGTCAACGGGTGATTGTTGATAACAGAATTGAGTAGAAACTAGCTGAGAGTAACGCATAGCAAGGACAAACGTGGTGCAATGCGCAATACGCGAGCCCCGGAAAGGGTAATCGTGGTTCGGTCTGACCAGTGGTACAAGTTCTGCGAATATCTCAGCATCGTTGTAGTTGTGTTTCACATCATACCCTACCTTATAAAATTACAGTAGGCGGCAAATAAACGGTTAACATTGTGCTTTTGACTGAGTTCAGATAGAAGCAGTTATGGAAGCCCTTGATAGATAGAGTTCCTACTCAGTACATGAAGTTTCTTCATGAGCTGTATAAAAACTTCACAACCAAGGTATCATCATTCTACGACGATATTAACGTCGACGTCATGCCAAAATTATCCACCGCTACCCTCACGAACGACATGCGAACCGTGGATTGGGAGAACATGTGGAGTGAAAATCGATATTCGGCAACTGCGCCATCTTCGTTTTGCTGATAATGTCGTTCGTGTGGCACCAAGGAGTAACGCGTTCACCACCACACCATGCCGAAAAGGACAATAGCGCGTTCGTTCCCCACGGCAGACACCTGCGGTCCGGAGTTTTGCAAATATCTTAGCATCATAGTAGTTATCTCGGAATACTTCAGTTATTAGTTACGTTTATCTCGGTCGGGAATTCAATATGGTGAACCAGAGTTGAGCAGAAGGAAAGGAGCAGCTTGTGTAGCTTTCGACACATCGAGAACGTAGTGAAGAGAACATGGAACACCCTACTCCATGCCCATCTTTTCGACTGCACGATGCTTCGTACCTTAACCTATGCGACAGAAACCTGGTGACTGCGTAAAGAGGATGAAAGTTCACTCAACTTTATTGAAGTTGCAGTTGAGAGAACGATGCTAAGAGTACCTTGTGTAACGCAAATAAGGGAAGAGTTCCGAATCTCTGGTCAAAATCAGGAATCTGTAACTAAAACTGCCGTTCTTTACGCCAAATTTTCGTAGATAAAGTGGGCCGAACACGTATTACATATGAACGATAACCGATGAATAAGAGCCGTTAGTGACTGGATTGCTCGGGATGTCAAATGTACTGCAGGAAGACCACCAACCCTATGGTCAGAATTCTTAGCGAGAAGCCTAAAAGGAAGGTATGATGCTTCATGAGTCCCTAGCGTGGGCAGAATCAACTTTGCTACTCTTGCACGCGACAAGGAAAAATGGAGGATTTACTGGCATCCGCTCGAGTCACTAGGCGGTGAACGAGACGACAGCTGGTACATGTGAGGTGATTCTAGACGAGGACGACTATTATGCAGACTAATGTGGTTTGTTCATTGCTGATTGAGTTATATACTATTTTCTTTTCATCCAGTATTAGCTTTGCTAGGGTTTTTCAAATCTTTATCATAAGCGGTCGGCAACTCGCATAAGTCGAAGGGTGGTTGGCGACACTGCAGCTAGTGTCTAGATAGCAGTAATTTATGACATTGGTCTGCTTATAGTTGACGTTTTGGATGGAAATGTTGAAATCCTCAATAGGGCGATACTTCTGAAAGAGGACCTATAGTGTAGTAGTAATCCCAGTTCAACATGATGGAACTCCCATTAACCGTCGTCGTACACTACTGGGGTTTCGTTGATCACTCGTATCAAACCTTTGTTTTGTGAGCAACGTCATGATTTTTCGGTACGTTGGTGAAGAAAGGATACGCTATGCCCGAATTTAAAGATGCAAGGAATGGATGGAACAGTTTATAAGTAAAATCTACAGTGCAGTGGTGAGGGATGCGTGGCTCTCTAAATGCAAAAACAACATCTTGCATGCATGGTAATTCTGCTAAAGGAAGGCAAGCTTTGATAGGTTTTTTGCCGCTATTACGCATTTTAATTGTCATTGTTCTTCATGAAGACTGTTCTATTACCTACATTAGCACTTTGGGTAACGCTCATCCTGCTAAGATTTGGGTTTAAAAGAAAACTTTCCTCCTCATTGCAGTGAATAATAAAGTAGATCTAATGACTCATGTCGGTCATGTGTGAGAGCGTTATACTGTCCTCGTTAATAAGTTTTTATGTTTCGGTTACGGTGCAAAAGATACGTAATTGGCAGTCAAAACCCAGTTATATGTTACTCATGCTGGTGAATGTGCCCTGACATACTTCAGTAATATATGGCCATGCCTGCACCAGTTTGTTAATGGAAAGTTTCGTAAACGGTGAGAGGACGACGTTGCTGATGAGTCGTATTTCTGAGGTTTCCTGAAAATGTGATGCGAAACTTCGAGCTCTCTCTTAACCTTAACTCAGCAGCAATCATCTCAATGCTCTGTATTGCATTTCAGACGGTTGTTGATAGTTAACCAGTTCGATTCTAAGCAACCTTCACAGAGCATTTGAACGACACATGATAGACGTGTTCTGTAGAGTGGATGTGAAAAACATGAAGGCATTCACGATGTTGAAAGCCTACATTATAGATGGATATGTTTGTGACGTATGAGCCAGGTTTTTATGTACAGTTAGAAGCATCTTATGAATTATGGAATGGTCCTCACAGATGGCACCATCGCGAAACGGAACTTCGTGGTGGATCGCGATCTTAAGATAATTGAAGGAGTGTGAAATATACTAGGGAACGGTTCCGAGGTATCGAATTTTGCTATTTCGCGAAAGGTTTATGGATTATCCAATTTTCCTTATTACTGCTAGTTAGGACTTTCAAAACGAATAAGCTTCGAGATCGTGATGGACAAGCAAAATTTAGTTGGGATATACATATAGAACAATTTCGAACTAATATTTATAGCTAACAATTATCGTCCTTTATCGTCCTCTCTTCATTTTTTAATTTATACTTAGCTGATTTTATTCAGTTTGTATTTGGAAGAGCATAGCTTGTTATAATACGATTTTAGCTCCATGTAATATTTTATTTCTTTACAGAGTTTCGTTTCTTCTCTCCCACTTGTTGAAGTGGTCTATGAGTTGAAAAATTGCTTAAACGAAATGCAGATTCAATTTGAAGAAACCAATGAAGTTGTGTATATGGACCAAGGTTTGCTACAAAGCAATATCTCTTAGTCATTTCCGTCTTCAAGGTTTCTTCTACTTTTACAATCCTTAGAAATGCGCCGTTTATCGCTTTCAACCGGCATTGAAATCGGTTGTGCTACGTTACCTGTGGAACAGAAGTCTTACATTGAATTCGCAATCATTACGAGCAATTCGGCGAGTAGTGAACTACTTTGTGATCAACTTATCTCTCGGCTGAAACTTTTGGATCCACTGGCATCGTCTGAATAGAATTACTGTCCTGTAACCTAAATGCTATTCATGACCTGATAACGGTAATCTATGAACAGGTGATTCGTTTTGAAATTGACGGGGTGTGCTACGTTATCTCTAAGCCATTTTATGTTAATCGTTAACGAATCCTCATGTTGTTTTGTCTTATATGCACTTCTACTATACCATGTTGCTGGTTGTCACACTCAATCTCTTCCGTCGCCTTCAGTATTTTTAACATTTTGTTTATTCGTACAACAGTTTTCAAATTGCATCCCGTTATCTTACGATGAATTCTGAGTCTCTTGCAAGGTTCATGGAACACCACTTAATATGTATATAGTAATATATTGAGTATGAGATTCCAACGAAATGTGATGTTGATTTGCTATCCTTCTAATTTCTGTTTTTCGCTTCTACTGGCCAACATGCATGGTCCAAATGATTTCTAGTTCTGATCGTAGTGAGCCTGTATAGCGGCTTCGTTCTACTTCTTTTTTTTCTGGTTTTTTGTTCCATAGTCGCGAAATATTGTGATATTTAAACTAATATTTATTACTGTGAGGGTTTCTCCTTGTGTATCTACTGTTCTCTTGCCAGTCCCTTTTGAGGCTGCATTTTTTGTCTGCATTGTTCCACACGCCATTCCAAGTGGTAGTTTTTACACACAGAAATATATGAATGATAACTCAATTCATTAAACATGAAATATACTTGTTAACGGATGGCAGACGACTACTAACTACATGAATTCTTTATAGGATAGACGATAACATCATTTTTGTATGCTTAATATTGTAAACAATTGAGTTGAGAAGAGGACGTACATGTATTGCTTGTAACCCGCTATCATTGATATAGCAGAAAAATAAATGAGCATTGCGGTCCTAGCGCGATATAAAACGTTCAGTGAGAATCTAAAAATGCTTGCCGAGCATTACATCAGCACTCACTCTGTACCTCCGTCTTGTCATCCACTTTGCAACAGCCACGATCCTGTCGGAAGCATGTGGCACCAACGCATCCGACCCATGGACGTCCGATCTCAGTGGCGTCTAGGAAGCAAGGTTCAACGACGACCTGGAAATTAATAAATTAAACATCACCAAGGAAATGTCTCCTACATCATCAAAAAATATTGGAAGCAAAGAAACAAGTCAGGATTTCCGGTGACACCTTCTGAGCGCCTGCTCTCGTCAGCACACTTGTAACATTTTGCCGAACTTCGGAGTAGCGCAAAACAGCCTCAGCAGACCAACTTTGCTTTGACTTGTCTACCTGAAAATAGAAAATCTAGTTGAACAGTAACACTACAAGGCATACCTCTTCTTGTCTGAATGTTTATAATGATAGTATAGACCTAAGACATACTAACTATTCGGATTCAATTCCATACCTTGAGATGTAAACTCTTCCTATATAACTAATTCCAAGAATGACTACTCAATACTGTTTCAAGCTGAAGGTGAGTGCATGGGTGAAGAAAGTGACATACCAAAAAGCTCAAATGAATCAGCGCTTCAAAGACGTTCCCAGGCCAGAGTCTATACGCATGTATATGCGTACACGTCACATCGGGAAACTGGTATTGAAAATATTGTACTGTTAGAACATTCTTACGGACAGAAAAACTGTACAACATTAAAGTAGCTTGCACCTTGCGTTAAAGTACTCACTGTTGCCGAAATTTCATTTTGAAATGACTCTACGTGAAATTTAGCAGGTGTATGTGCGAATATGTAGGGCATCATTTCTTCGACTGAAAGAAGATTACTTGTTAAGGATTATTGTACCGTTGCTAGCACTGAGAAAATGTCCAAATCCCCGTTTATTCGTCGGGACGTTGACGACGACCATAAACTTGTAAGCTTGAGATGCGAGAACAGGGCGGTATGGAAAGAACAACTCACATGAAGGAATGATAAGAAAGAAAAATAATATGGTTGAGATGACAGCGATCACCGGATCCACATGTTGCCATAGCCATGACTCACCAAATGACAGAGGGATTGAAAGTCCAGCAGCATACATTCCTTCAATATTCCAATGTTTTCTCAAAAAAAGTTAAGTAAACTAGCCAAGCTGTACGAATCTTAGGCCTTTGTGAAGTGGAAAACGATGCATGAGTCCGAGATAAGACAAAACCACAACAATTTAAAAAGACCTACCAATAACCATAGTTGGGCTAAGTGTGTGTAATACTAGTCGTGGTACTGGATGCAATCCCATTGAAGGAATATGACCCAGTGCTAGCACAAGACATTTTAGGGCGACGTCAAAGATACTCACAATAACGTATTCTTCTGAAATCCTGACCACATAGAACATAGAAAGAAGATGCACCAAGAGTATAGTTGTTAACCAGAAATGCAGAGCAAACAGGATTAACTAAAAACCGTGAGACGATTGCTTTGTCTCACTGTTAAAATCATATCAAAACTGCGCTATAGTGGAAGTAACAGAACTTTGAGAACTGGGAAATTCTCTTTCACAACAATTACATTTGCAATCAAAAGCAACAAAAAACACGACAGGGGAAGTCGCTGACAGTGGCGGAAACGAAACAGTACCATTATTATCCCTACTATTACAAAATCTCAACGGTTTACCGCCTTATCGTGCCTATTCCTGGGCGTCAAGCTGCGAGGTACAGCGGAAGATCCATTTCCCCAACAGGGTTACCCAGGCTGAGAACGATTCTGGCGTTTTCACCAGGAAGCCCAGCTTAAGAATAAACCAGTACACCAGAACTCCCACCGTCCTGGTATGAAACTAGTCGCATGGTGGCAAATATCCCTCTGATCCACAAGGGCGACAGCTGCCTGTGGTGTTGACGACCTGGAGCAGAATTTGGCTAAGCTGACCTCGGGACTTCAGGGAACCACAATGGCTAAACCAGAGAAACTCCGAAAAAATAGAAATTATGCTGCGGCCGACTGCCCCAGTGAAGACGGGCCATCTAAGTATCCAAGTAAGTATTACACAATAGAAGCACATTTTCAAAAAGTTAACTGTAAACAAAGATAATATTTTGTCTCCGTTAGCAATTTCAATAAAAACAGATAAAAAAGGACAGAAAAGATAAAGTTCTCGGCGTTGTTCAATCGATGAGGAATGCGCCATACATTCGACTTCATTAAGCATCGTTTAGAGGTAATTGAATGCATATTTGGGCCTTACAATGACACGCAGTGACCTGCCGATGTATCGAGCCAGTGCTGTTCTTTACCTAGACAACTCTGGAACCAATCTGCCGACTCCAGAGGGATGGAAGGCTTGCTGGGCCATGGGTGCAAGGATCGATTGCACATGTGTGTTGCAGGGCGACTCCGACCACTGCGCTACACGCGCCCCTTGTAGAAACAGAAGAGATCAGTCTTCTAACATCTAATAAATCCTTAAACTCCAATACCAGAACTTCCCTAAATAAACCACAAACCCGTAGAAGCTGGTCACTGAAGTCAAGTAGAGCCCCACTAATGCTTCAGCTGAATTTTAAAAATGCAGCAGAAAATCAAACACAAAATCAACTTATTGATCGAAATTGATCTCGGACTTGGAACAAATCCATAGGTGTGGTTCGAATCATGATCTTCATCACTATGTGAATGAGAATGACCATCATCACTACCATAATTGGTAAGAAGTTCAAGTGCATGAGTCGTGTTCACGAACAATACGGCAATGAACGCCACACAGCCACAGATTCTAAAGAAAAATCAAGCCTGTTTACGAATATACTCGAAGCGGACACTAACCATCTGAACCATAATATTTCATTCATATCAAAACCATCACTTAAGTGGAGAGGCACAATAACCGAAGAATAGAAGGGATGAACCTGTGAAAAAGTGGACGAGCTTCGTCTCCAAGCGTATATCCATGATGAGCCATAATCACAAGTAAAAGCAGTGTATTTGCAATCGGCAAGTTACAAATCAAAATATGATAGTTCACCGACAGAAACACCTGAAAAATCACTATACTTGCCAACTAATAGGCAACGCTAAAGCAATACACTACAATCCTTATCTAATTAGTAATGAAGGATAAAGCTTTTCGCATTGATCAATCCCTTAATAATGCGCCAACCATTCGACTTCACCAAGCATCGTTGAAGGCGATTGAATGCATATTTCGCCTTTAGAATGACTCGCGGTGCCCTATGGTGTATCGAGCTAGTGTTGCTAGCCTCCCAGACAAGTCTGGTACCAATTTGCCGATCCCGGAGGGATGGAAGGCTTGATGGGTCTTGGGCGCCAGGATCGATTCCACGTGTGTTGCATGGCGCTTCCGACCACTGCACAACACATCCCTTACCTAATTAACGAATAAAAACCTAAGTAACCTTCATCACGCTGTCAATCTTCACGATAGGTTGATAGCAGATTTGAAAAGAAAACGTTTGCTGCATAGAAAGTAGACGACTAACCTGAGCGATGAGAAGTGCGACCATAGCCCAGTAGTACCATGACTGTGATAGGGGTCTCATACGACAACGATGGTCTGTAAAAATCCACTTACAAATATGTTTACTACTTAGATGACACTCTTCTATACAAAACAGTTACTGAAGTGATAGGTGACGCTGTAAAGACCTATCATTATTTTAGGCGCACGTAGCGCTTGTGGCTACAATGATTCTGCAAGAAACCAATTGGTCAACTACTTGAGAAACTAAAACCTAGCGTGAATTCGGATAAATTTGGCGTTGTGCAAACTCACTAAAAAAGTTCAGGGATAAATACTGAATGTTACCAAATACGGAATCGCGACATTAAAATAAGAACATCAATGAAGATACGTAGTTCAAGCCACTTATACCGAAATATGGCACCGAAAATGGACACACACAGCATTAAACTAGCAAAAAGCACGTCGAGGAACAAAACAGTTTATTTACAGTCCCTATACTTCTTAATACAAAACATTACAGTGGAACTGGTAGTGCTACAAAGGTAGCTAACATGCACTGGAGGAAGACGAGGTGAGGAATGGGGAAAAAGAAGAAACGCGAGATGATGAGAAAAATGAGGAAAAGCGAGGTGATAAGGAAAATTGGACACATGGTTCACACATAACATCAAAAAGCACTAAACCACATAGTACAGTCCAAACAGTACAGTTTGTCATGAGCAGTATATCCAGCAGGTTATGACTGGATCACATTTCATAAGCCAAAAAGAAAAGAAAGAACGAAAACTGTACGGACGTCTCTAATACTCCTCTATCTCTTCAAGAAAACTTGAAACGACTCTACATCCAAACTACCGCTCAAAGAAAGCAACTGACATTCCAATACAAGAGTGAACTCCGTTTAAGTGGCGACATCGGAAATACATTTAGGAAAAAAAATTAGGAGATGAACACTGGGTGAACGAGAACACTACGATCGCACGTCGAGACGACGAGCATCAGACGAACGCGCGTTCAGTGTTCTTCTTGCCGTATGAAAACGTTTACAGGGCTCACCAGCTTGCTTTTCGACGCCAGCATCAGCATTCGTATGCATGTTGTATGAATGTTCGACGCGGGAAAAATGCCATTACCCACCTGGTAGGAGGTGATAACGACGGTCTCAACATGTAACAAACGGTCTACGCGGAGTACGAAGAGCGATAAGCAACCGTCCGAAGGGGCCCCGTGACGGCGAATCGACGGCGATCCGACGGCGACCGACACCTCTGTCCGTCGAACGTCGACGAACAAGCACCCACTCGTCGCTGGACGTCCACCGCTCGGACGATCGCCGTCCTCGCTGACGGCTGGCTGGCAGCCCGAACAACGACGATCAACCGCCCTCGCCTCCCGCTGGGCGCCACGGAGCTGCGAATTTCGATTGTAGCACGAAAATACGTAACCGAATGCATTCTGTTCAATTCGTAATAAGTGCAATCTCGAGTTGAACTATTGATTACTGAGTGATTTAAATGGAGTTCTGATGATAGCCGTATTGAGCACGTTCGTGAACGATCATATGAGATCATTACTTATGAAGAATGCAAATAACGTAAGTATCGCACCACACTGACATATATATATATATATATATATATATATATATATACTTCTTAATATTGCTTCTTAATATATACTTGGATCGATTTATTATCGGGCTATGGAGCTCGAATTATGGAGCAAAGGCTAGGAAAGTGAAAAATGATGTGGTTGACTGTTCCGGGTCACTAAGTACTTCACTCATCTGAATTACGCCTTACAGGTTGGAATCAAGGCATAGCAACTATTCAAACATCGGTCTCTTATTACAGTAATCGGTAAATGAACAGGAAGTACGTTTTCTTACGTTCACTACGTTTACTTTGAAGACGAAACCAGCAAATTCACCGAATTCATTGACAATTCTAAAGTAGTTCCAGAAGTATTCTGATGAATAACGACTTTTGAAGTGAATGATGCAGTGAAGAAGTATGTTATAGCTTCATTCAGTACGAAAGCTAGCAACGCTCTACTGTGTTTACACAAGCGCTGGAAGAAAAATCATAGTGTCAAGAATGAAACAGGTCTTCGGAGTTCAACTGAGAATACGAGACGGACAAACAAATTGAAGAGTCAAGATTAGAAGCAAGCATATTTACTCGAGTATCAGTAACACGTTATTTGTTCTCATTATGGTTCACATTCTTCAGGTAATAATACAGTACAACGCATCAAAAACAAATGGTGCGCGTTGTGCAGTGGTCGGAGACGCCGTGCAATGCGCATGGGATCGATCTTCGTGCTCAAAGATCAGCAAGCCTTCCATCCCACCTGGGTCGCCAACTTGGTACCAGAGTTGTCTGGGAGGATAGCAGCACTGGCTCGATACATCGGTAGGCCACCGCGAGTCATTATAAAAACCAAATATGCATTTAATCACCTCCAAACGATGCTTAATGAAGTCGAATGCATGGCGCATCTCTCACGGGTTGATCAACGTCGACAGCTGTATCCTATTATCTAATGCATCAACTATACTGATAAGCTCGTTGATGGGGTGTTTCGTTCTGGTTTGTTCTATCTCCGTACGATTTCGTCGACCACACCTTAACACTACCACTTAACTCACCTTGCTCCTAAGCTGCTCATTTACGAAGAAAAACTCTAGATTGCGAATATTTGCTCAAAATACGCTAAGGTCATTGCGATAATGATTTTTAATCTGCTAAAGGGTTCTCATCTACAATAACACAAGCAATTTTTCGTTCTCTCGAAACCAGGCCATTAGGTCATTCTGATGACGATTCTTCATGCATTAAACACTCGCTTTTGTCAATGCGTTTACATTATTTCTAGAGTTCTTTTATTATTGTTGAGTTCAGTTCTTGAAAACTAAAAAGACTGTCTAGAATATCGATCAGGAAATATGTATAGAATTTTGTATTCCGTAAAATAATATGGAGTACAACTACTCTGCTCGTTGGTGTTAATAAACGCGTGACTTCGGTCCAAACAAAGTACTAAGAAACAGTTCGATATGGTACAGAAACACCGTAGGGTTTCGGAAAACTGGACGACAGTAATGAGATTAAAGAAAACTACATCTAATTTCGTAGTATTCCAATCCACCATCGAACCTCTCCACACTAACAATAGCAAAAAGCTCCGAAAAATCGATACGACAGCTTGCCCACATTGCACTCGGCAAGACAAAACCCCACTGTCGTTCCACATTCTAACAATGATACTATTTTTTAGTCCAATACCAAAGTACTCTAAATGTTATAATTTCGTCTTTAGACAGTGAGACTTTACCTTAATATTTTTCCGTGTTCAGAATTTGTCTTATACTTGATGATATCTCGTTGTTAAAGCCAGTGTAACAATCTATTTGTGGATATCTAATGTACAGAGGATTTATATAGAATGTAATTTTGCAAATGAATTGAAATATCAAGCCACACCGACATTTCTATAGTTTAGTTTTCGAGAAAGATGGTGTTTGACGCCAATCTTTTGCCGTGTTTACTTACTTGAATACTTGGATGGCCCGACCTCACTGGTTGTGCGGACACCAGCAAAATCTCCATTTATTCGCAGTTTTGCTGGCTTAACCATTGTGGTTTCCTGGAGTGCCGAGGTCAACTTAGCCAAAGTCTGCCCCAGGTCGTCACCTCCACAGGCAGTCGCAGCCCTTGAGGATCAGAGGGAGGTTTGCCACCATGTGACTAGTTCTATACCAGGACGGTGGGGGATCCTGGTATTCCCAAGACCGACTTTCTGTTAACCTCGGCATTAATTGATAATTCAATGTTTTTCATCAATAAGCAGACACGAGGTTGTTAATATAGAATTTATTAGAACACAATTGCTGACGTTTCGGCGGTTTCGTCTTCTTCAGAGCCGTTTATTTGTTGTAAGTATTTAAGTTAGTTGGTGGATAGCCGCCGCACAGAGTAATACATGGTCGATAACTGTCAGTTCAGTTATGTCAGTTCAGTCAGTTACTGTCAGTTATCGACCATGTATTACTCTGTGCGGCGGCTATCCACCAACTAA